GAAAGGCGGGATCATAGTGCGTTTGATGGCCAACATCGGCATTAATAGTGGAACATTACCCTTGCAGCGTATCAGAACAACAGACCGTCAACCTCACTTTCCTTGATACGCCTCGCAAGCCGTCAAGCAAACATCGCCGAACATCCCAGCTCCCATGTGTTCTGCTTGCTTTTGTCGGCCCCCATCCCGCGTCAGTCAGCCACATTCGGCTAGTGTAAATGACATGTCAGCTGCGGCTTCCACGTTGTCGTCGTTTCCTGTTCTCTCGATCGATGCTGCCATTCACACCGCTTCGGACACGATATAAGAGAACACCGTACCATTCAACCGTCGCGGAGACACAAGAGATATAGAGTTGCACCGCAATTACGTTACACGATATAACCCCGCACCGTCGTCGCAAGGCTGAAGTCTAATAACACAGCCCGTATCAAAAGCGCTAACAACGACACTGGATGCCCTAGAGGAGTCCAGATCAAAAACATAAAAGTTCCAGACGGAAGCAAGGTCATACATCTCGACAATCAAGCAGAACAGAAGCCATGATGGATCTTCACCACCAATCCCACTTCTCGGCCTTCACGCGCTTCTCCGAGAAGCTCAAAGACACCACCAACCGGCGCAAACAAAGCGCTTCAAGCCACTCCATCCGCAACCCTTCCATCAGCGGCCTCCCCGCAGACGCAGACACAGCCTCCATGCGGTCTTGGGACTCGGAATTCTCGCGAGACAGCCGGCGCAGCAGCATAGGAAACTACGCGGACCGCGTCCGCCAAATGTTCACTGCAGGTTCCACGCACCCGGGCAGCGGCCAAAGAAAACGCATTACAGACCTCCCTGTTGAGGTGCTTCAGCACGTGTTCATCCACCTCGACTTCTGGGACTTACTCCGCTGCCAGCGCGTATGCAATGTATGGCGGCAACTCATCCCCGGCGACTCCCCTTTACTAGCGGAGATGCTGTATCTGAAGCCGTCCCGCAGTCTGCAAATCTACAATCTCGTCCCCACAACCTTCGATTTTGAACTCGATGTTACGCCGCAGAGTATAGAAGACGGGGTACAACCGTCTGGCACCCGGTTCTCAGTCGGCGTGCGCAATGAGATTAGTCTGATGAGGAGGTGTTTGGGGCTTATACGGACGAGCCAAGAGATTGTTTTCCATCCGGTTGTTATGGATTTTAATGTTTGGATTCAGAATGAGAGGGTATTGGGGTGCAAAGAGGGGTCGTGGAGGGATATGTTGGTTTCGATGCCCCCGTTGAGGGAACTTACGCTGAGGCATGGGAGGAAGAGGAGTGTGGTCAAGGTTTTGACTGTGGGGGATGATGAGGACGGGGTGAGGTTGGGGGCGCTTTTTGATGCCATGGATGAGTGGAGGCGGACGTTGAATTAAGGGGTAGGTCGTGCTAGCAGTGGAGATGCTGGTTCATCTTGCTGCTGGACGGCGACAAAGGGACCTGCTTTGGCGAATGTAGATATGTAATACCATGTATTCTTCTTAGCAATTTTCTCGTGCAGAGGCTACTGAAAGTGCGATGCAATAGATGCAAAAAGAGAAATGCAAAGCAGAAGATACGACAGCAGGCGCTGCTAACTACTGTTCTCCGTATGTGCGTGCATATAGGTTGGTAGGTAGGTGAATAAAAAACAAAAAAGAAGATCTAGGCAAAAAGACAAAAACAAAATACCAGTGGATACCCCAACCCGTCACCCGACTTCCAACCCTAATAGGAGTAATCCAGCGCCGCCGTCCCGTGGTGAATACTAGACTGCGGAATTGCTTCCCTCGTCAAGTTGTATTCATTGCTTAGGTCCCTCCAGCATCACTGGTTACCCAAGTGAGTGGATTAAAGGACACCACAGGACTCGAACTGGGCTCCCGTTAAAGTATTGACAGTAAGCCGGATTTGGAAACGGAATGTCTTCTGGCTGAGACCCGTTACAGGTGGCAAATTTTGGAATTAGATGTTATATAGAGGGACATCAAATTGAAGATGAGTCTGCATAGTGTGCGCTGCTCGTCGCCGTCGCTCTGCGAACTTGTGCGAAGGCTGTGAGCTTCGGGTAGCCCAAGCGAGCGGAAAGCGGGGTAAGAGCGGCCTCAAAAAGCGGGGAGTGTTGGACCTTTCCCGCCAATCTAGGACAATAGGTGCAGCGCTTTGAACACCATAGTCACAACGCAAACGTGAGATGGAAGACATTTGGAGAGAATCTCCATGTTATGATAGCTACGATGCAATATACTCGACTTGCACAAGTCACCACAGATGCGTGGGTATCTATTCTGCGCCTCCCAATGCGACACCTCCGCCCAGTGATGGAGACTCCGACTCACATCTTCAAAGCACGTACTAGCTTTTGAATCTCAATCCGCACATCTTCACATCCTGGCCGCTTCCCTTCATCTCCTTGCACCATGTCGCTGATCAGCTGTTGCACGCCATCCCCTACATCACCCAGACCTTGCGCGAAGCCATCCGGAAAGACCCCTCGGCGCAGCTCCGTAAGAGCAGATATCCGCTCCATACGCGTGTCGAACTTTTGAATCATCTCAAACGCCACCACACCCAGAGCGAAGACATCAAGCTTCTCGTTGATACCACTGCCCGTGTGCGGACGGTAAAACTCCGTACCCACAGGCTTAAAGGTATCCGATACAGTGCAGCTGTCGCTCAGCGCCGCGACAAGCCCGAAGTCTCCGATGCGCGGCGTCATGTGTAGGTGATCACGCTTCGGGCACGTTGTGCAGCTCGAAACGTTGACGGAGCCGTATGGGGGGTGGCGCGCTCGTGAGAGCGATAGGAAGACGTTGGCTGGTTTGAGGTCGCGATGAACTACGCCTTGTACGTGGAGGTACTCGACTCCGGAGACGATGTTGTCTAGTAACTCCAGCGATACGCAGGGGTGGAAACAATGCTGTTCGATCGCGTGTGTTGTGGGTGAGTGTTGATCGGAAGAGAGGAAAGCGGCAAGGTTGGTTTCGCAGAGGCTCATTTGCACATTTAGTGTGAGGACTGGTCCAAGGCTCTGGTTTTGGATCAAGTGGCGGGGCGCATCGCTGTTCGATATCATGCTGTCTGACATTTCGGAATGCGACTCCTGAGAATACGGCATGTGTAATCTGGGTATATTTTCAACGTCGTCATCTTCGTCCTCGTCAACGTCCTCCACAGCGCTCATCCTGGACTTTGTCGACGATATTGTAGCTATCGTGGTCTGGCTTGCTTGGCTGCCCCGACGTTTTGTGCGTCTTGTCTGCTTCAACGTCTCTTTGTATGATGCATGAACGCTCTCGCTCCTGGTCTCGTTCACTTGCTGTTCCGATTCGCTGAACTCAAATATAATTCCCGCGCTATTGCTGTGTTCGGTGCTTGCGAAGGGATTGTCCATCGTCAGGCTATCTAGCTGAGAATGCAGATCTCCCGAGCCCGGTGAAAATGACGGAAATGCGGGTCGATCATCCAAAAGACGGTCGTTGCGTAACATCGTGACTTCCGGCGCGGTCACAGGGTCTGCCGGTATTGTGGTGAACTCCAGCCAAGCGTTGTGATACCGAACTATGTTGTTATGATCGAACCGAGCGAGCGAACGTACTTCCTCAAGCATGCTTTCCAGTTCTTCGGGCCCATGCTCTTGTATTCTTGCAACCCTGGACGGGCTCACCGGTATCCTCTTTACAGCATACAATGAGCCATCTAGTTTGTGTTTGGCTTTGAAGACCTTGCCGTATCCGCCCTTCCCTACAATCTCGAGCTCCGAAAACTCCCGGATATAGCGGTCCGTTTGCAGATGAGGATATCCTCGTAGCTGCAGCTGTACGGGAGCCGATATACCAGACATGACATCGAAGCCAAGAGATGGTTGTTGAGGTAAGGGTGGATTGATCGCAGTTCCTGGTCGTGAGATGAGCGCCTGTGAAGTTCCTTCGGGGATCGGCGCAAGTTTGCTAAGGTTACCCTGGATCAATCGATGAATTCCCTGATTCGCAGTTGTTCGGTGAGCCTGCATCTCATCGCTCGCGTAGGCGTCGTCTACATTGTTGGAGATCTGACGAGCGAGTTCCTTATAGGCGTCTCTTCCGACTCGTTGTACTTCCGGATCAGAGATATCCTTTCCTAGTCGCTCCGCAGCTTGCTGAATAGTCTGCTTTTCAAGCATTGAATGGAACAACAAATCTCGAACGTTTTGTGCTGAGTTCTGCCGAACTTCTAGAGGAGGCCGATGGGGCTGAAGAGACGGATGCCCAGAAGTAGCGGAACTTAGAGTTTCGATTCGTGACAGGACGCTATCCTGTTGCGATTCGCTTGCTTCCTCGTATTCGCTCTCATCATCAGAGGTTCCCGAACTTGACGACGAATCTCCTGGCCTGCGGAACATGGACATTGCGAACGGAAAGAGGGGTCGTTGTGAGTCAACACAAAGCCAGGCCAGCTGTTCTTAAAGGAGGGTAGTCGAGTCAATTGAACGATTTAGGGCATCCGATGGCCCTTAGACGAAAAGACGCGCGCGTGGGTTTGTTGTTAAGTTGTTAAGACGTTTATGGTAGTGTGTTGTTCGGTGTAAGCTGCAGCGTCGAGCGAGACCAACTCGATGCCAACAGCTGTACCAGCAAGGACCCCATCAGTGCCTAGGTACGCGATGTCTAGGCAAGCATCGAGCGTCACGGAATCGCATGGAAGCGAAACGTGTCACTTTGAATTGAAGGCGGAGAGCACGTTCAAAGTCACAGATTAGATCGGAACGGAAGGGCGCAATCCCAGGAAAGTGGGTCCGACCCGTGGACGGAACTGGCAGGGTCTAGCGCGTCATAGCACGTGCCCAGGCGACCGCGAACAATTCACCTACGTGCACGCGCTTTCGACCCTTTCGGACGTGTTTGTGGCTACATGACCTTCTAAGCTGCTTCTACGCAGACTACGGTCATTATGTCGCGTGCAAACTGTCCTCTACACTCTCAACTCCTGCGAATACAAGGCTGATCTACAAAACCTTGGGCATCATGCCGCGTCAGCTACCTTGGGCAAGCAAGAGTGGCGGAAGTCGGACCCAAGCCAAGCCAGCATCATCGCGGAAAGCTACGAAAGCGCGCACTACAGCTGACATAGATGACGACTTCTTCGATGGCACTGTGCTGGCAGACAGCAGCAGGAGCAGAACGAGATCAAATGGGTCCGACGATGACCTTCCCGGCCTTCCAACAGCACCGACAACGCCACGGACTAAGACAAGGACCAAAGATGCATTGGGAAAGAAACGTGGAGGGTCATCATCACCACCTCCCATTGATGAGCTTGAGGCGCCGCACATTGAGAAAATGCACAAATGTCTGTCGAAGTTCGATCTGCGCGACGACGAGTGGATGATGGTGGAAGACGAGTTTCTGGAGACAGCAAAGCTCTTCTCGCGACACTTGCACATCGCCGAATACGAGAAGCTTAAGGCGATGATCGAAGAGAAGAAGAAAGAAGCTGCTGAGGTTACCAGACCCGTCGTTGCAAATGCGAAGAGGTCGACTAGTGGCGAGATGAAGGAGAAGGCCAGGGTCCAAGAGCTGAAGCAGAAGGAAGCGATTCGCGATGTGTTTGCGTCGCAGGAAGACGAAGATGACCAAGAAGGGCGGGCCGTGTTGTCAAATCGGTCTCATTTTGCGTCTTCGTTCATGGCCTCAAGACACGTTGCGACCACTAGCAAATACGCAGCACAAGATAGCGACTACGACAGCGACGATCTAGACGCACCGCGCCCGTCAGCAAAGCCCGTTCCCAGATCCACCACCACACCCACCCCAGTCCGCAACAGCAGTGCAGCAGAGGGGCAAAAGTCTGCCTCGTCTCTTGCACCCAATCCGAACCCCGTCTTCGCTAAGCCTGCGCCACCTACACCTGCAGCAAAATCTCGCTCACGCATAAGTCGCGCAACACCCTTTGACATGCTTGACGATTTGGTACCGACGAAGAAAAGTAAGGCATTGTCGGGGTCTTCGCCGCAGCAGCCTGTTGAGACATCGCATGCAACGCGCGCATCAAGTGTCAGCAAGTATACCCAATCCTTCGATTCTGTGGGCGATCGGGGTGGTGCTAAGGGACGATCAAGTGCTTTGTTCGATGAAAATGCGTTAGTCAGAGATCCGGGCGGCAGTGGTGGTAACAGCGGTGTCAGTAAGGAGACTTCGGAGCGCATTGCCAAGCGCAAGGCTGAAAGGGAGAAGAACGAGAAGGAGCGGAAACGGAAAGCTGCGGATTTAGATGACGTACCGACATTCTTGTTTTGAACTGTTGGCGCTCACTACGATTCATAGAGTTTTGACTAGGAGGTCTTTTTTAGGAGTTTATCGGGGGAGTTCATGATGATACCCTAGTTATGAATTGCTGTATCTTGTTGAGAATGGAATACGTTGAGCTACAGTTTAAGGAAATGATTTATTCAAGGATCCTTCATGTTCGTTAACATCATGGATTCTCGTGGTATTGTCATGAATTCTCATATAGACCACCCACATGGGCGTAACGCATCCCTTTCCAAGGGCAGTACGCAATCGCCAAAGCAAAGCAAGAAGCACTAGCTTGAAGTACCCCAAAGGGCGCCATGACAACAGTAGCGACAAGAGTCTATCCAAACATCTTGTCCAAGACACGGTTGAAAGCATTAGTCTCTGGCTTCTCCACAAAAGTACGATGGTACTCCTCGATCTCCGCGAGATCAGTCACAAGATCCGCCTCAGACGGTGAAACCCACTTAGTCCTCTTGAGAACCTTCCAGAAAACGAAGAGAACGGGGAAGGCAAAGACCCTGTATTTCATGTCAGTATTTTGTCATGGTAGGAACAGAAGGGGGCGATGGGGTGGAGACTTACATCAAGTATGAGAACAGGAAATCAGCGACAGCCCACTTGCCATTCAGGAACACAGTGTAGCCACCGACAAACGTCATGATGAAGGTGCATACAAGGCCGTACCATGCGGCGTAGGGCTGGGCCATACCCTTGTATGGCAGCGTGTCTCGATCAAGACCCTGTGCTTGGCACGCCTTGTGGAACTTCAAAAAGGTGAAGCACATGACGCTGAAGTTGATCAACTGCGATGCAGTCACCAAGCTAACGAACCAGTTCAGCACGACAGCGGAGTTCTCGCTGAGCTGGAGGAAAGACAGCAGGGCAATCAAGAGTACGAAGAAGACGCAGTAGAAAGGTACACCTTGCTTCGTGCACTTGGTGAGGAACTTGGGCGCTTTTCCTTCTAGAGCGAGACCGAAGAGCGAACGGGACGCGCAGTAGACGTAGGAGTTTCCGGCGGAGAAAGCGGAGGCGAGGACACCAGCGTTGACAACGTGAGGTAGACCTTCGATACGGAGTCGGTTCATGGCGATGACGTAGGGTGAAGCTGCTGCACCTGGCTTGCCGTCTCGGAAAGCGGCGATCAGCTCTGGGTCGTTGTAGGGCACGTTGATACCGACAGCCAGCGAGCCGAGCACGAAGAATGTGGTCAGACGGTAGAAAACGGCGTTGTAGGCACGGGGCATGACTTTGCGCGGATTCTCAGTCTCTCCTGCTGCCATGGAAACGTAATCTGGTCCGGCGATTGTGAAGGAAGCCTGGATCAGGCACTGTAGGAAGCCCAGGAAGCGACCGAGCTGACCTGGTTCGTAGAGTTCTGTGAAACTACCAGGGTTCTTCCAGTAGCGGAAACCGTACCGATCTTTCTCCGGGTTGCCGCCCAACATGGAGATGAAGGTGAAGATGAGCAGGCCAATGATGAGGAGGACTTTGCCAATGGCGGCCCAGAACTCGGTTTCGCCGTACCATTTGACGGCCATCATGTTGATCACACTGTGTTGAGGTTAGCACTTGATCTGGATGTATCCTTTTGGAGAATCTAAGGCGAAGGTTGAGCACACAGCTTCATGGTTGCTCCAACGTAGACGCCAGAGTGCCAAACGCATGAGTTGCCAGCACCAGGATGTGGGGTATCAACGTACGCATAGAGCACAAGAACTATTGCGATGATGGCGCCTGTGGGCACGACATCACTCCAGAAGCCGATGATGACGTTGCAAGCCACAATCTCAAAGGGCACAAGAGCAGCTTCGAACACGAAGAAGTTCCAGCCAGCCGCGAAACCGAAAGCATCATCCACAAATCTTCCGGCAAATCGGATAAACGGCGAGGATATAGGGAGGAATGTGACCATCTCAGCGATACCTGGGTAATTGCATTAGCTGGTGCTCGGCATTCTTAGCGCGAGCGATGGAAAAAGGTGCTTTGGGGTATAGGATAAAGCGCATGGGCATTGTCGCAATGGGAAGGAGTTGTCGCTTTGGAAAGTAAGGGATGGAGAGTCTCACTGAGCGTCACAGCCAGAATGACAGTACACCTTTTAAAATGTTAGCGTTAGCTCATCGCCGTTGATGGCGAGGGAAATTCTGCATACCATAACGAGAATGCAATGAACAAACTTCCAGGTCCTCCGTTCATCAAACCTCGACCAATCTGCACGTATAGGGCAGTACCGATAGTTCCTCCAATACCGATAAGCTGGATATGTCTGCTCTTGAGCGTTCGGTGCGTCTGATCGGTGACTGCCTTCACAGATCCGACAATACTGGGATGACGGGGGCCGACATCGTAATGATTCTTCTCCTCATCGGTAGCGACATAACCCGTGTTCTTTACCTCGTAGGGTCCGCCAGCACCAAAGTCTTGGCCGTAAGAGGTCATTGTATCGAATGTCGAAAACCTCAAGGCTGGGCTTCAGTGTATGGATTTGAGAAGCAGGGCAAAGTACTGTACTACGAAAGCCATGTACCAATAGCCGGTTGAGTTGTCTTGTAGATAGCAGGTAAGGCTGAGGGTCGTCGTGCAAGATAGCAGAAAAGTCGGGGAGTAACCTGTTAAATAACCCTCTCAGCTGCCCTAGCGAGCGCGAGTGGGAACCCTGCATGAGCTTCCTCGTGGTGAACGCTGTAGATCGCGCTAGGCAGACTGGGCATTCACAATATCCCGCTTCTCCAAAATTCGGGCCTAACGTTACCTAGTGGAGGGCGAATTACTGATGGGCCATTTTGGCGTTTGCCATGGCGGGGCTGCAGTAGGCGTATCTCACGTCCTCGGTCCTTCACTGGCCAAACGGCTGCTCACCCAGAAGGATATCGAGGGTCGGTGAACCCTTGTCTCGTACGCCGCGTGTTGGGTACCCCGATAACGTCGTTTGTGGGTGCAGGGATTGAGATACCCGGCATCGCTAGACCAGCTGTCTTTGAGCCCCCAAGCGGGGCCCTGAGTACATCGTGCAGCGGTGTCACAACATACGGTACCCTCAAGAACGTTACTTCTTCTGTCGTGCATTTGAGGCCTCTTTCGCGTGTCCAGCTTGCGCAACAGCTGTTATCGAACCATACCTATCGTCTTCCCTGTCGGCCTCTCCGAATCCTTCCACCCAGTTTGTGGAACGAAAACCCCTCCATCTCTTGAGTATATCTTGGCCTGCGCTTTTACTCCAATGACCGAGTCCGCGTCATTTTCTGAACGGCTGAAGCTATCTTGGCATTCCTGGGCTGGCGGGTTGGCTCCAGGCTTGCTTCGAGGCTTTGCGTTGTCTCCGTTGCCTGCAAGAGGCTTGTTCATACCTCGGAGACAGCCACTAGCTCGGACCCAGCCACCTCGTAGTCCTCAAACTGACAGCCGCCCGCTGCGCCGAAAGGAACTAGAAGCTCCTTGCCGTGAGTCGAGACTCTGACTCGGTAGATACGTAAAATCGTGTGTCGCTTTCTCTCCCCACGGGGACGAAGATGCATCGCTCGACTGTTGTTACCATGTGATGCTACAACGCCACGAGAAGGCGTGATGGCTGTCAAGCTATCAGTCCTGCGTCGCTTGAGCCAGCCTCTTTCTGCATCCAAGCAATAAGCGATACACCTTCGTCAGATAAGCCTCAGCTTACCGGTGAATGCAGAGAGACGCGTTACCAACTGTCGCTGACACTTGGCGATGTTCCTTGCTCATGCTTCGCCTCTCTGAACGATACAAGACGATGGCTTCCACCTGCTCACTTCGCAAACCGATATCTCGATAGCCAGGATAGTTCTTCATGCGGTCAGCAGATGCCAGACGTTGTCTGCCTGGAAGTACACGGCGCGCATACCAGAGACGTCCAGATAGGCCAAGGATGCCTCTGTCATCCTGCATGTTCGAGATGTTGCGTCCAAGGATTCATAAAGCTTGGAGTTACGTATACCGAACAAGCAATCTGGCACATCGAATCTGCCGTCGCCTTCCTTCTGTGTCGATATTCCGCGTTCTCGGCCTATGGATCGTCGGGCGACCAGCCGCTTTTCTCATGCGAGGAAGGCGCGACATTGCGATGCCGGGTACCGTTACGACAACATTCCAGTATGATGTGAGCAGACGCTTCGAAAATAGGAAAGAGAGCTTAGACGAGAATTTACAGCAGCAACAAGGGCGGCGGCTCTCTTAACAGCTGCAGGTGCCGACCTGGGATCATGAGGCTGTCGCGCTGTCATTGGTCAATCTGAGAGCATGGCCAGGTGTGGTTTATCCCGAGGTCACCAAACACCCTGGAGCCTACGTTGACGTTAGGTCATCGATTTTGAATTACTCATAATGTAGTCATTGGACACTAAGTATACACGTTAAAGGTACAGTGTCTGATAAAACCAACCCTCCCCAATAGCGCCTTCGCTGAACTTTTGCATGTGTGATGGTCGATAGCAATACAGTCGCTAGAGAGAATCCTGGCCAAGAGGCTTACGCTTGACAGAGGGACTGGACGCAATCTTTGGCAGGTCCGCAGTGACATCCTTCATCGTCATGAAATCCTCATCCCCTTGACGGCCCAGTTCCCGGTTCAGCTTCTCTACGGTCGTGACTTCGCCCAACCAACGCTCCCCAGTTTTGTGATCGAAGTGCACTGGCTGGACCAGGCCACGGTAGCGCGACATATCGTCTAGGGTTGGTGGGTAAATGATGGTTGTCTCCCTGCGTTCAAAGCCGTCCTCAGTCATATATGGCTTCCCCTCGATGATCTGCGGTTCTGTGCGCCATTCGAATGGAGTTGCCGGAAGGTTCGGCTCCTTCTGAACGATATCCCACCATCTGTTCTTGCCAGTGCGGTTCGGCAATTCGTCTGCGGATATTTCGATCAAGCCCTCGCCATCAGGGTTGGGAATGAAATGACGGGGTGGAAGAACCTCGGTCTGGAGAACGGGCTGCAGTCGATGATAGTATGTGTAGTTGTGGATCTCGCGATGGATCTGCTGCTGGATAACCTCGTGTTCGTGTGGTTTGATGATCTCGTGTGTAACGGCTGTCAATTTGTTAGTCATGTCGTGACTTTGGGAGGATCAAAGCTTACCAGGGGCGACTGTAGTGTCTCGATCCGTGTCTACAGTGTTATTGAGGTTCACAACACCCGCAAGCATCGCTTGCTGTTTCTCTTTCCAATCATGCGCGCCATCCGTGCCCTGATAGTCCTTCGTGATCGCGAGACCCGGGAGAGGTTTCACGGCCAGCGCATCATTGTTGGTAAGTCCTGGTACAGGCTGGCCACTCTTGCTCAATCCATGTTTGTCGGAGGAAGAGCGCTGCTCGCGCGATCGAACGTCATCATCCAAGCCGCCGTTGTTGATATCGTGACTACCCACTGCATACTTGTCGGCGGGAGCTTCGGTTGGCACTGCGCGTATGGTGCGGCCTGGACCGTCTACGTCGATTGATCGTCTGACTTCGCCATGGGGATGGTGTAATGTGTCTGATGTTATGTTAGCACTGAGTCGCCAATATTGTAATTGCGCTCTCAAACATACTGGGTAGGGCCGGAAGAGCCTTTGATCGCTCGCCATCTGTCGATGGCCTATAGCGCAGATGCCTATCTGGAACGCTGGGCTCGACATTTGAATGCTCTTCGGAAACAAGCGCAGGAAGGTACGATCTGTAATCGTTCGCCATAGAGCCATTGGATCCATTGGAGCCCGTGCTAGGAGTTGCTACTGCATGGCTCGCTCGGCCATCGTGATAGGCAGAGTCGCGTGGTTGACCTCGAGTCTCCGGGTGAGAGACATCATTGGGGGCCGTGGGCTTTTGCTGCCGACTGCTAAGAGGTGATGCTGGGTGCTGCTCAGTGCGCGGGCTAGTCTGATCAGGATGCTCGTACGACGCTCGAGGGGACTGAGTGGGCGTCGACTTCTTCCTCCGGTGGAGAACGGACTTGAGCTTCTCTTCGATCTTTTCCATCGTGTCGATGGGTTTGTGAGCAGAAATGGACAAGTGGATGTGGGAGCTATGTGAGATGCCGATCTATTGTCTGTTTTCACGAGGCACGGTACTCATTGTTAGGGTGGATGACCTCACAGCACTTGCGCACAGTTGTCCATTGAAACCTTCCGGCAGGAGCAAGCCGAAGTCTGGAGAGTGTGCATGTCAGCTAGCTAGGGTGTATATTTGGAGCTTCCAGACATTCTGTCGCAACGGTTTGCGAAAAAGTATAGCTTCAGTGATGCCGTGTCACGACGGATGGAGCTGGTGGCTTGAGTAGCACAGGCCGCAGTCGTGTTCCCGCATGTTGGCGGCCTGCCCGGAGCGGTCCAGACTTGTCCCTACGTGAAGCTTTCTCATCTCGATTGAGACTGCTCGAGCTGCCCGCACAGCTTGTCGCATTTGGCCCACGGCAACGGCATGCGTGGCGACTCAGCATGACGTAGCCAGCGGTACTTGAGTTTGGCGGTGTCTGGCTAATGAGTCGGGGTACCGGTGGTACGAAATCACACAAAAGCAAACAGCATCCATTGCCACTTTGGTATGTCACAGCGGAGATCCAGGCGGCATGACGACAGGGAGGGGGAGTCTGGTCGCGGGCGGCTCCACTGATGATCAGCTTAGCGTACCAAACGACGGGCGATCGTGTTAGCCTGCACCTAGATGCAGCCAGGCCTTCGGTATACCCGAGACACACGCAGATGCAGGCGGGCTGTGAGAGGGGTCAATGGAATTTGCAATGAAGAAATCAACTTTTGAGATTTCCTACGAGGTGTTGTGAAGTTCCACCGGGAAGCAGCACGGGCCTGCTGTCACCGAATGGCAGGAGCACGACCCTAGCGCCGATCTCTTTGACACCAACTGGAGATGCCGGGCTCTTCCTCCCCGAATTGTCATAGCACTTGTACCCTTTGAGCACCTCATCCAGAGAGTGTTGCGACACTTCGAATCCTTCGTGAAGCCCAATTCCTGTTTGGACACGCAGCATGACTACATCATAGCGGCTAGGCTGCGGTAGGCGTGGAACGACACCACTGGGTGCATCATAGTGGCCATCTCCATTGTCAAGCGTACCAACGCCGTCTTAAGCGCTATCCATGTAGTCTAGCACCAGTGAACTAAGGGCCCTGACGCATATCACGTCGCTGTGGCGCCCTGTGGGCCAACCAATCGAGGCTGCTGGGGGCATCGATCGAGGCCCGTATAGCCTCAACCCACTGTTGCTGCCCCATGATGATGGCTCTTACCCTTGGGAACAAGGAATTCGGCCTGCGACTGCCGACTTTACCTGGAACTGAACCCCCCATTACGTCGTCGTGCATCTGTCCCACTAGCGCCCTCATTGTATAAGAAGGCACTGCAGCGCCTTGGGAGCATCATCATCACACCACACACAACAACTCTTCCACACTCACCAATAACCAATCCACTACCACCAAACCACCCCAATCACCAACAACAACCACACAACTATCAAAATGGACAAGGCGAAGGCAGCTATCACCGACTTCATGGGCCGCTCCGGTCACCATGACACCACTGTCCACGAGGCAGTTGCTCCCGCTGTCCAGCACGAGGTCATCAAGCCTCACGTACACGAGGAGGTCAACACCGCCATTGACAAGGAGGTCCACCAGGACCACTACCACCGCACTGTCCAGCCCGTCCAGGACCGCGAGGTTCTGCCAGAGCAGCACTCTGCTAAGCTCGGAGCTGTTCAGCACCGCGAGTTCGACCACCGCGATGCCGATGCCACTAAGAGGGCTCTAGTCGACGACCAGGCTCGCTTCGCTGACGAGCGCCGCGTCGAGGACACCACCCACAGCCAGAGCGTTGCCCCCACCGTCGGCGGAGAGCACGTCCACCACGTAAGTTTCCAAACAAACAACAACCCCCACCAAGACTGACGTCATCTAGCACATCCACGAGACCATCCAGCCCGTTGTTCAGAAGGAGACCATCCAGCCCAACGTCGTCCACACCACCGTCCCCATCCATGAGGTTCACCATAACAAGGCTACCCACCATGAGACTACTGCTCTCCCAGCCATGACCATGGAGCAGTTCAAGGCCAAGGGCGGAGCTCTTACTGGCCGTGAGGAGCGCTACGACGAGTTCGAGGGCGTCCCCAAGAACATCGGCGGCGCCGGTGGCATTGGATCCGCCGCTGGTCTTACCCACAAGACTGGTGGCACCCACAGCCACGAGCACGCCAGCCACGGTGACTACAACGCTGCCCCCAACCACCACTCCGGTACCAGCAACCCCCTCGACCGCAACAACGACGGCAAGGTCTCCGCCAAGGACCTGACTGGTAGCCACTCCAACACCGTCCATACTGACCGCGGCATGGCTGGCCAGGGCAACCTGACCGGCTCCTCTACCCAGGGAGGTGTTGTCGGCCACGGTGCTGACCGCAACCACGACGGCAAGGTCGACAGTCACGACCTCCACGACCCCGCTCGCAGCCGTAAGTCTAGCACTCTAACACAATTCCACGACCTCATGCTAACGTTTCGCAGACAACGAGGGCGCTACAGGTACGAAAGACCCCAGTGGACATGTTGTCGGCGGTACCGATCAGGGCAATATGGAGCATCGTCCCAACGAGGATGGTAGCTTGCCTAAGGCCCTGACCGAAGACAAGTCCAGAGCCGTTCCCCACTCCCAAGCCTCCGAAGAGGAAGCGAAGAAACTCCTTGAAGAACATCAAACCAACACTAAATAGGTCACAAGAAGCCTTCTCTCATGGACAAGCTCAACCCCAGTAAGTTTTGCCAGTACTCCTCTCTCTTCGACCTTTCATCTGACCATTTCCCACAGAGGTTGATGCCGATGGTGACGGCAAGGCCGGCTTCATGAAATAGATGCATTCTGCTGCACTCTGCACCACGCGCGATCATCACGACTGCATGCGAGATACCAAGGACTATTTCCTATGACATTGTATAATTAGCCTAGTAATGAATTAATCACTACACCCTCCACACACGTCTCATTCATGATACCTGAATCTTCAATGGGAATGAATTCTTACTGGAGTGTTGATTGTGGTGGTGACACCAGACACACTTAGATACATGGATGGCCTTCCTTTCTTCGACCCAATCTACTCGTGAGGCATGTGCAGAACACATTCCACTGGCAATGATGTTGTGACTTGTATGTCACTACATCAGAACACCCTTTCACCTATTGGCTGCCACTGATCAATCGACTTGTCGGTAGGTACTATCACCACCCTGCCGCCAGTCCAACCTCCGAGGTCTCCTGTCCCGTCAAGATTAACACCAAGCAAATCCACTGATGCCAGACCTGTGTCGTCGATTTGAGGAATGTCGTGACTACAATAATTAATCCTGGTGCATACGTAGATGCCAGCAGCTGTACTTACTACATCAAGCTCAGATGTGGATTGTACTCGTCCTCGGCCCAAGCTTTCGCCTTGCTTTCCTCTTCAAACCCATCGACTTGCTTCCGGGACTGCTTTGCTAGTTGCTTGATCCCATCAAGCTTCTCGCACTTGATGTACAGTTTCCGAAAGAAGACGTCTTCGCTGCCCAGACGTTCGAACTTTACAATCACATCCTTGATAGGCGGCAGATCGAGTGAGTCGAGCCAGGCCTGAGGATCTGGCTCATGCTTAGATGCTGTTATCTCTGAACTCAGAGTGATATGGGGAATGAAGCGGTGAGGCGAGCCGAACTGCTTCGATGTTTTGTCAATGAGACAGGGCAAGACTGTGCTCAAAGTATGGTTCGCTGGTGGAAGCAGCCAAAGAGATGAGCCAGGCATGTTGGAAACGTTTTGGATAAGTACAGAGAAGATGCAATGTCAGCTCAAGCTTTCATGCTCTCCCGAGGCCTTTATGCAGAACCCCGCATTGGTATTGGCCCGATGAATTGCCCCGATGCCTCTAACGCCACGTGGCTAGTGTCGCGGGTAGCTTCAGCCACACCTGGGCATCCTGACGTCTTTAGCTGACTTGCATGTGAAAGCGCGCATCCAGGTCCGACAAGCGTTCCCACTTGCTCGATAGCACCACCTCTCCGCCGACGCGACGAATGAACATGCGACTTCTGCCACCGCGGCGCTGTCAGCCGATCACTATCCCAAATAGCTCAACGCCATGAACGAAGCCCTCAGCGTCGTGTCGGGCGCGTTTTGGAGCCTCCTGCTGTGCTTCTTTGACGTGGCTTTCTTTTGGCAACGAGTGCGTCAGCTTCCCTCTGCTGTTTCAAAGACCGTTCTGGGTCAATTGATGTGTCTTCGGATGTGATGCTGATATGTTGAAGAAATTATACGCGTGGTGGGTGCAGAAGAGCCAGCGAGATTTGCTGCTGGAAGCTGTTAGCGATGCGCGCCTGTTTGAGGAGTGGGAGGCTGCTGCGTATAAGCTGGACGAGGTGCTCGACTACGACATGTGGTAAGCAGTCCTTTCGTCCTATCCTGAATAGGCCCATCCTAATGGACAGCTGCTAACAGACTCATAGGCGACAGACTGCAATAAGCAAGGACTACGACCATCGCCTCATCCATCAGCGCCTCTCCGCCATCTACGAAGCTCAAGAAGATAACGATATCCTCGGCCTCATAAACCTCCTCCGTAGCGGTCTCGTCCGCAATCTCGGCAACATAACCGCGTCGAACCTGTACAATCGCGCATACGCAGGCACGAAGCTGCTGATCGAAGACTATGTCACCCAAGTCGCGTACGCCATCGAGAACCTCACCCAATACCCTACATCGAGAAATTCGGATAATGGCTTAACAAACCAGGCGAAGCTGGATGTTCTCCATGACACAAGGCAGGCGTTCGGCAGATCTGTCTTGGTGCTGCAGGGCGGACAGGTCTTTGGCATGTGCCATCTTGGTGTTGTGAAGGCGCTCCATTTACGTGGATTGCTACCACGAATCATAGCCGGGACTGCCACAGGTGCTCTGATAGCCGCGCTGGTGGGCGTGCATACCGAAGACGAGCTATTGGAGTTCCTGACAGGCAACACTATCGACTTGACAGCATTCACCAATCGTCCTTATAGGAAAGGCGCCGGTGGAACTGCATGGATAGGCACGCTCATACGTCGTGCTAAAAGATGGTGGAAAGAAGGGCACTTCTTGGATGTCGGTGTCCTGGAAGATGTCCTGAGGGCGAACGTGGGTGATCTGACGTTCGAAGAAGCATACACCAGAACAAAGAGGGTGCTGAATATCACCGTCACAACTACCAGTGGTGGAGGCATACCGAACCTTCTGAACTACCTTACTGCTCCCAATGTTGTACGTAGTCCGCTCCTTCTCCATCCCGAAGCAGCTGCTAACATTCCCAGCTCATCTGGTCTGCAGCACTTGCCTCCAACGCCACGGCCTCCTCGACTCTGTACCATTCCGTAACAATGATGTGCAAAGACGAGGAAGGCAACATCGTGCCTTGGTCTCCAGCCTCGAAAACCACCTTCCGTCCTTACACACACGCTTCGTACCGAGACCGCGATTCCCCGCTCCATCGCATCGGCGAACTCTTCAACGTAAACCACTTCATCGTCTCGCAAGCCCGACCATACCTCGCACCTTTCCTACGCTCAGACTCACACCATCCAAACCCCAAACAAGACGGTCGCTGGCGCCTCAGCATGCCCATACTGCGTCTCGTAGTCCTAGAGATACAGCACAGATTACAACAAATGGATGAACTGGGTCTACTCCCCCCTTCCATCCGTCGTTTCCTCCTAGACGAAAACATCCCAGGCCCAAGTCTCACGCTGGTACCTGAACTCACACCCAGCGACTTCTTCAAGCTGCTCGAGAACCCTACGAAAGAGGCGATTGACTACTGGATACTGAAGGGAGAAAGGAGTGTATGGCCAGCAGTGACGGCACTCAAGATTAGATGTGCGATTGAAGTTGAATTGGATAGGGGATACCAGCTTGTTAGGAGGAGGAAGCCTTTTGATCCTGTTCTACCTGCAGGTACTGGGGGCTTGAAGAAGAGTGGGAGTAGAGGGGAGGTGCAGACTGGACATGGTTTTGGGGATGAGAATAGAGAGAGGGAGAGGAGGCATAGAGCGAGGGCTGCGAGTTTTGGCGGGAATGGATTTTGAAGGGCATGTAGTTGGATCTAAAATTTTGCCGTGTAGCCGGCTACTGTATACAAGATTTATTCTGGAAGCACTTTGGAATCGATGTACGCGCCATGGGCACAATCGGAGCATGTCTCGCGCGCTATGCTTTGGCAGGAACTGCTGTTTCCCACATGAGGCATCTTACCCACTCTCAGCCTTACCCGCTCCACCTGCAGCGTTGGTCAAGCTTCGCACGTCATCTACGCTAAAAGAATTCGATGTTTGCTGAGGACCCAAATATCGTGTTGAGGATACCAATCAGCCATCCACCCGTCAATTGACACTTTAAAAACATCTTAACTCTGCAGCAAACTTCCACTTCCCTTATTCAACCTCTTCATACCCTCCATCAAAACTAAAATCTCAAGTCTCGACATACAAAATGGCAACGTGAGCCCCACCATGACTACCCCGCCAACTGCGCGCAACTCTGAACACACAAACTAATTCTTGGACAGCAACATTACATGGCACCCGTCTCTCTCGCGCGACGAGCGCAACAAGTTCCGCAAGCAAAAAGGCTTCACAATCTGGTTCACCGGTCTTTCCGCATCCGGCAAGTCGACAATTGCGACGGCGCTTGAGCAGCATCTGCTGCACCTGGGATTCGCGGCATACCGTCTCGATGGCGACAATGTGCGGTTCGGGTTGAACAAGGACCTTGGATTCACAGAGAAGGACCGAAATGAGAACATTCGCCGAATTGCTGAGGTACGTGGATATGCGCGATCTATCACTCGAAGAAGTACAGCAGCTAACATTGTTTCTCTTCCAGGTAGCAAAGCTCTTCGCCGACTCCTCCACAATCGCCATCACCTCCTTCATCTCCCCCTACAAAGCCGACCGCAAGCAAGCGCGCGACCTCCACGCCGTCACCACCGGCGAAGACTCCCCACTCGCTTTCGTCGAGGTCTTCGTCGACCTGCCTCTCGAAGTCGCCGAGGCGCGCGACCCCAAGGGCCTGTACAAGAAGGCAAGGGAAGGCAAGATCCCAGAGTTCACCGGCATCAGCGCGCCGTATGAGGCGCCTGAGAACGCCGAGATCCACATCAGGAGTGACCAGAAGAGTGTGGAGGATAGCGTGAGGGAGATTGTGGAGTACTTGCAGAGTAAGGGACTGTTGGAGTTGCAGAAGTAGGAGTTTCACATTTAGTGGTCATGAGCCTCTGAAGCGGATGGCGAGGACCGAAGTTCCGTCGCGGGTTGACTTCAGAGCTGGATAACGAATTGAACATCACTGACGGACTCTACTCCGGAGTACTGTCGACGCATGAGCGTCCGTTGAGTTTCACAGGACGTCTACTGAACAACGCGTCTCCAGATACAACACAGAACGGGAGACTCGCATGGCTGACACTCAATGCACAGCTTAGGATCTACTCGTTAAGAAACATTGGACAATGGTTTCTCTCTCCCCAGGTCGATAGCATGAGAAGCTGTGTTTCATGACCCGCTGTACCCGCGCACATCACAACCCCAGATAACTATATGGTTACTATATGTATACTTACATCTCAAATTCTTACCAGAGACCAGGATGTATACCAAATATCCCGTCCGCTCTAATTACAGCACCGGTCTAGATACCCAGTCTTTGGGGCCAGGCCAAGGATCATACAAAGGGATTTCCAATTCTTGATACGGCACAGTTGCAGCTTACATGAACCATGATGCTCACATATTCCATGCATACCATCATGACAAAAACCGTTTGATCCCTGTATCTGCGGCTGACACCCGAGGGGCTGGCTCTGGGGCTGGATAGCGTGCTTCAGATGTTATTGGAATCTGAGACTGAAGACAGTTGTGTTGAGGAGCGTTGAGCGATACCTAAGGTTGTGAGAAATCGACTTCTAGTGTACACCAAGAGGCACCATCACCATGGGCTACATGATCAGTAATTCCCAAATTAGCAACACAGACGATTGCGCAACGAAGCGTGGAAGGGAGCATCAATCTCCGACGCACAACCCCAATCCTTCTTTCTTACCTTTTAGCCCCACCATCCATCCGTCTACAAACGACTATCGCAGCCATCAAAGCGACAGCAAATCTCGGGGGTATCGTACGTCTTCGCCCCACGAGGCAAATAACGCCATAGAAAACTGACTCTCATCACACGGGGCGAGATGTCGGCATCCCGCATCCAACAGCGAGTCTTGGAAAACTCAAAAAATCCTACGTACCCTCATCTCCGCCGGCCTCATTGGACCCAGTGGCACCGGTACACAAACCCGACCTGCGACCTCAGTCATGAAGTTGCAGCGGAGCGCCGCCGCGGCCCTGCAAGCAACAAAGAGCGACCCCACATGAAAACGCTATATGTGAAATCGCGCTAAGATCTGTGAAAAATAAGATGCCGTGTTGCGCCTCGTTCTTTAGCGAGGCATGATCCTCGATCCTAGTCTGCCTAATTCCCTTTCTAAGGTTCTTTGCGTGGGATGACGAGTTGGACGTTCGTGGCTTGGGGGCCCTGTTTTCCCCATATTTTCGCGGAGTTGACACGTCGGATGGGAATGGTTTGGCGAGTGTGGTTGAACTTTATTCGTGATTCGAGCTACCCGCGGAGGTACGGGACCTTGCGGATGTTCGATAATGTTTTCGAGATGGGGTGATTGGGGCGAGGGCGGCGTCTGTGTCAGTTTGGACTGGGGAACCTGGTGATGAGCGCGTTATCGGGGTCGGTATCGGTAATCAGCTTGGGGTTGCTCCCGGAGTTGGCATCTCATCTTGGTTATCGTGACGTTGACGTTGATAGTGCCCAGGTGAGGTTGCGACGACTACGATGCCTAGGCAGTGGGGCGACGGGTTGCCGCTGTGAGGGTACTAGCGCGGTGATTGAAAGCGGTCTGGGCGTACACGTGGTTAGTATTCGAGGGCTTGACAGCCGACCAAGCAGACAGTCGAAAGCAGCAAAAGAAAAGCAAGGCTGTCAATGCGACGTGAAACGCTGGTGCACTGTCAACGGCCGTGACGGGTGGCGTATGGCGTACGCCCGCATTGCCCGCATGGGCGCGTGGTAAAAGCAAACACGACTGGGGTCCATGGCATGACGACTTCAGGGAAAGCAAGCATATGGGCAGGGTAGCGGATGTCTAGACAGGGTACCGTTCCGATTGGGGTAGGAGGGGGTACAAGACCCTGGTCTCTAGTGGCTGGAAAGAGTATTGGATCAATGGAAATGGGTCGATAGTAGTGCTCGAAAAGGGAGACGTTGAATGTGACTGTGATGGCATGGTAGCAAAAGCGCCATCAGCGCTTCGGCACCAAAAGGAAATCCTCCGATGCCTGTCTATATGGCGTCTTTGTATGTGATGCAATGCCTGGATTTCTTTTCAGTATTAACGGCGGAGTAAGCTGCGCTTCTCGGCCCTCATTCTACAACCGTCCGCCGAGATCCTGCTTGAGCACGTCTAGTATCCTCTTACTATCAACTTCCTCGTCCCCTCCTCCCCCGCTACTGTCCCCTGGCATGCGCCCCTCACCTTCTTTCAACCGTTTCAAGATCTCCGGATCGAGCTCCTGCATCATCTCATCAAACTCTCTCTGTTGCTCTCCCTCTAGCTTCGCGTATTCTTCCTCCAACATGTAGTCTTCGGGCAGCTTCTCCATACCAGCAGGGAAAACGTGAATAGTCGGGAATTCGAGTATAGTACGGCCGTGCAGGCTTTCACCCAGCGATTGCGAAGGGTCTAGAGGGATGAGGACGTGGCGGTTTGTGCTTGTGCGGGGCTTCAGCAGAAAAACCCTATGTTGCCCGCTGCCCATGGACTGCCCATCAGTGCGAGTATCTCCAGGACGCGTCTCGGCCAAGTCTGCTTGTCTTTTGGTGGGTTGTTGTTTTTCTTCTGTAGCAGGGGTTCCTCGTCCGGGGGTGACTCCCTCTGGCCCCGCATTGTTGACCTGAAGCTCAGAATTGACTTCATGCTGCTCGATTGGCTGGTCTTGGTCCGGTGCAGTAGGCGCAACGTCATTTTGAGGTAGGTGTGGAGGGTCTGATTGAGAACTTTGGCTGGCAGGAGCCTCGTTGTTCAGCTTTCTCTTCTTGCTTTTAGCACCACTGCCTTGTTGTACGAAAGGTTGTGCATCTTGGATCGATTGTGTAGAGGATGTCTCGGTGAGCACGCGTCTCTTGGTCTCGTCAAACCATTCGACTGTCCATACTATGTTCCGTGTAGCCTTTCTGGACACAAAGATCAGCAGTGTTACGTGTACGCGTTGATAGTGGGGGCTTACTTTGTAGCAGACATGTGCGACTTATTCTCTTTTTGTCTGCTCATGCCTTTGGGCGCCCGCATGATCTTGACGCCAGCGGCATTCTCAAGCTTGCCATACTGAACACCCATTCGCTCCCTGTTGGACAGACCATCTTGAGGAGTGCTCTCAGCGGTGGTTCCAGCGACCCTCTCAGCTTTTTCGAGGTTCCGCTCTATGCTAGAAAGAAAATTATAGTCGTGATCAATGCCCCTGGGGGTCACCAGATCAGACTTCTTGATGAACTTTGTTGGGTCGCGCTTCCCTGAGCATTGTGCGTTCTGTTGATGACGCTTGTAGCATGGCAGCGAGCATGTGCGTGCGCCACACCCAGGACATTTGTACTTGGATTTATTGCTATGGCTAATTAAACGTCAGCTTTCTCTCTCATGCATGCCGACGCGGCTTCGTTGCGCTAGCTAGTGTCACAGGAACGCGGCACAACTCTTAGGACGATTGCTAGCGAACATCGAACTTTTGGGATGTAACAAGTGCTACGGAGGGGTAACTAGTCAGACATACCAGATACTGCATAGTTCGTTGAGCAACACTGCGTCTGTCATATCGCCCGAATAGTGGAGACGGGTAACGTGATATCAGATCACCAACACCTAGGCTAGAGGTGATCGGATCTCGCGCGACGGCACGAAGGGAAGTCACTTTCGCACGGTAGCGGAATAGCCGTACGCGTGAACAGGTGCAGGGAAGGTCAGGCGGTAGGTGCTGTTGAGCGACGCGACGATGGTGTGGCGTGCAAGGCAATGATGGGTCGTGGTGGAAACTTTCGCCAGTCGCGTTGTGGCTGAAGTCAGATATCGTCGCTTTCCGGTGGGGAACGTCACCAGAATGCAGGAGATTTAGTGATTGTCTTGCAGATCTACTCTCCGAGCAATCTCGCACCGTGGTTTAGATCGCTGCGCGCTGCACGCAAGACTGCTAGCAGCGAGGAAGGTTTATGAGGTTGGACTAGCGCGACCACAAAAACTCTGTTCACAGCTTCGTCCATCTAGTGCAGATCAGTCGCGACGGCTTCCATCTGCTCGGTTTCTGTACCCCTATGCGAAAATTCCTGTAAACATGGAAATTTGCGGCTTATCCGTGGCCTTCGACGAACCATGGTCGGAGCAGTGGCACGCCGCCAGCACACTCGCCGGGCTGTGGTCGACTGGGAACCCTTTCCTTAAGACATCGGAGTATTCTCCACGCCAAATTGCATCGAGGTCCACCCACGCGCAGATCAAACAAGTGGTCGACTGCGCCGATTATGCGCTTGCGCTCGTCTACAGCTGTTGAGAGGCAATCGAGTCGTTCTCGCTCTGTCCGGCTGCAACACGTCTTGTCCATGTCAGCTTGACCGAACCTGGGCGAAGGCGCCCGATTTGCCAGGCAGCTTGAGTGCCCGGTGTTTCAGCCTCACCAATTCCAGCTCTCCGCAATTCTCAACGGACAGCTCAGAAGTCTGGTTCTAGAGGGTCCACGACACGCGAGGCTACTGTACGTGGCCACCACCTTTACCGGACTGTGGAGCCGATCGAAGAATCTGGTCGACAGCTCGACGGCGCGTCTTGGACCTTCTGCAGAAAGGCCTCGCACTCCCACGCAGGATCAAACGTGCCTGGCGGCGGGCCTAAGAGCGATCTTCATGTACCGCCTGCTGGGCAGCCACCGATAGCCAACAGCCGTCAGGGGTTTGCCTCGCCAATTTCTAAGCACTTCCATTCGCGGTCCGTCCGAGCTGCAAGTGCGGGAACTCTGCTCATGCATGCTGATGCGAGGATGCACGCTGCAGACGTGCTCATCGTGCACAAGGCGTGCGAATGATTCGAATCCAACCCAATGCGGTATTCAGCATAAGACCAGTCCGTATGGCGCTATTGCCACCAGCGGGGATTCTCTGCTGAGGCCGCTGCGGACTCTCGGTGACCGAGTCGTGGTACCAGAGCTCCGGTTGCTGGACGTGGCTGCAGGAAACGATACAACAGTGCAAAGACCAAGGCGACATAACAATGTACTGTGTATAAGCCGTATCTTTGATTGCGGCCCTTGCTGCCGTCGCGCCCGCTCGAGGAAGTTGGGCGAGCCGTTGTTCAAGAAAAGTGCCCCTGACAGCGCCGTGCACCGTGCTCCGAGACGGACCCTGCGAATGGGCAGGGATATGCTTCTCATTTCCTCGAACCGAAACTTGTGAAAGCCACCCATGCTAGTCTTCGGGTCGTTCAACCCCCAGCATCCAGTCCGCGCGCTGCGGCAGAGCTCCCCAAAAGCCATGATTCCCCCTTGCTGCTACCCTCCTCTACTGCCCGCAGCAAGGTGACCTCGGAGCTCTCAATTGACGGAGTGCGTATAGTACTCACGGTCCGCTCTCTCTTGTTCTCGCGGGTTGCCTTTCGGATACCTTTCACGCATCGCCTCATGTTCTCACAGTTATAGCTGTCATAATAATTGCTGGATTCATCCGCCTGCCGTTCTCTACACCCATACCGCAACGGCCATCTCGATAGGACCGACATCGAATCCGCCAACATGGCACCTTCTTTAAGTTTGCGACCGCGTACAGGCGCCAGCGAGCGTCCTCCCACGAGAGACAATGCCGACCACAGCCTCATCATCCCGAGCCGGACATCGTCGCTTCATTCGAGGATCACCCAACCGCTTCCATCGACTTTGAACGTCAAGCAGGGCGCGCGGAGCCCCAAGACCCTGACCCATGCCTACATGGTGTGTGGTGTTGGTCGCGAGCCATCACAATGGGTGAAGGCGCCTGCGCCCTCTCAGGGCAAGATTGGCCACATGAAGGGTGCTGTTGGTACCTTCTGGCTTCCTGAGATTCTGGGAAGCAGTCCAAGACTGGAGCAGGATAACGAGATCGCGAGGTCTCTTCATGCTGCCATGCGAGTACGTCTATACAACAATGTCATTGTTGGCGCGCTACTAACCACGCACACAGGCATGTTTCCCCCACGACGTCGAGATCTGCACTGGCAGGAGCCAGCCGCACTGCGTACACCACTCCTTCGTCCTGCAGCAAGATTCCTCACACACTCTTTACGGTATCGCACTGCGCGTCTGGTCTCGCGCTGATGAGAAGCGCGCTGAGACTATTCGCGACCTGCGCAAGCGAATCGAGCCCGACTTCTTCGACAACCCAGACGAGACATACTGGATCCCGTACTGCCTGAGCTTCCTCTCCCGATACCCCTTGTACAACCTACTCGGCGACTACCTGCGCGGCATGTGGATTCACTGGAATAAGGCTACCAACCTTTTCCATGCCGAGGAGGTTTCACGCATCCTCAGCTTCCCAGCTCCTCGCCTCAACGACCTGGTCCGCATCGACATGAAGGATTACGCGCTGTGCTACCAGTTCCCATCCTCGCCTACCGGATTTCAAAACTTCGCCATGTGGCCCCTCTTCACGTGTCTCTCAATTCCCAACATTGTGGGTGTGATAGAGGCTGCTGTATCGCCCACACGACGAATCATCTTCACCAGTCACTACCCCGCGATGCTCACCATCGCAGCCGAGACAGTCCGTTTCTGTGTCCGGGTGTACGAGTGGAGCGGTCTGTATGTACCCGTCGTTCATGCGCGTCACGTCAAGGATCTCGTGCAGGAGCCGGGCCCATACATTCTGGGTGTAACATCAGAGTGCCGATCGCTCTTCACGGCTCCCACAGATGCCCTTGTCGTCGACTTGGACCGGAACTTCGTCCTGACTTCAAGCCCGCCTACCGCTCTTACCGCCGGCCAGAGGACCAAGATGATCCAGCGTCTGACTCAGGCTCTCAACGGTGAGGTTTCACCAACCGGAGTTCCACAGCATCTGCGCTCGGCGTACGGTGGCGGCAAGCTCATTCCCGCGGGTCAAATCATTGTGATGCGTGGTGAGGTTGAGAGCATCCAGGACCCCGACTGGTGGACCCAGGATGCTGTCATGTCGGTCATGGACCACGTGTGTGAGAAATTGGTATGTATCCGGTTGCGCATAGACTCATCGTACCACACGCTAACATCACCACAGGGCCGCAACACTGGCGTTAAGGCTATCTTCGGTGGCTCTGTCAAGAAGCCGCTGATGACCAAGGTGTCGATGCGCCACCTCAACGAGATCGTTCGCGAGCGCAACCAGTACTCCCGTGACGCACAAGAAGCCTGGACAGACTTCATCAACCTCAAGCAGCGCCTCGACAGCGAGCTTGGCAAGGTTACAAAGCGCAACAACTTCTTGGTCGAGGAGCTTGAGAGCTGGAAACAACAGTTCCTCAAGTTCCAGGCTTTCGCCGAGCAACTCACCAAGGAGACCCAGGATCTCAAGGTCAAGATCGAGAACCACAAGCGTGAGAACCGTCGTCTTACAAGCCTTATCGACCAACAGAAGGATGATGCCGCAAGGCTCACTGTCCGTCTGTCCGGTACTGAGAAGCAACGTGACGACGCCCTCGAAGCGCTTGTACTACAGCAAGAGATTGCTGAGGAGCTCGAGCGCGAGAGGAAGAAGAACAAGAAGGAGCTTGGTGCTCTGCAACATACCAACGGTGCCATCCAGCGCCAGCGCGACGAAGCGCAACGGGTTGTGCTCCACCTTCGTGCTCTTATCGAGGGTCAGACCCACCACATGGAGCACATCGTCAAGTCCCTTAACCAGGATGACATGTCCAACTATATGGATGCCGGCTTCGAAGACGTGCCTGAGGAGGATGAGGAACAGGAGGAGTTTGAAGATGCGGCGTCGCGCCATCAAACCCCCCGTCACTCGATCAAGGACAAGTCTGAGGTCGGTACCATCCGCGGCGTAGCCGGTGTTGAGAGCCGCCAGGAGTCAAGAGCCAGCACTGCGCAGGGCAAGCACCTCGACGGTGAGGACGTTACACCCGACATGGAGCAGCGTCTATTCAACAACCCCGCACGCAACTCCAAGCGCTTCTCAAATCAATCAATGGTCGACGTCGCCGACCGTGTCCTTCGGGACAAGACCGACGCCATTGCCTACATCATCCGCAACATCTCAGAGCAGTGCGCTGCAGCTGTTGAGGGTCTTCAGCTCGCACAGCGTGCTGACACAGAAGATGGCGACAACCACAGCGACCGCCGCAGCAGCGTTGGTCAGATATCATCGGCCGGAGGCCGCGCGCAATCGACTATTGGCAGCGAATACGGCGACGAGGACAACATGCTCCGCCCCAACCGGGGTTCAAGCATCCCCCCAACGCCCGATCTAAGCCATCGGTCCAGCACCTCCATGTCCATGGCCAGTGCCAGCACAACACCGGACCGGACGAGCCTACAGCACCGATCGCACGACATCCCCGTCGTACCAACCCGCATCATCGAAGACGATGACGACGTAGACGGTAACAACGATCTCGATGCCCACATGGTTCCCGTGTCCAAGTACGCGCAACCACTGCAGCGACCCAACACCGCTGTACGCCACAACATGCGATAAGCTAGTCGTCGCCGCGGCTTGCCGCCATTCTTCCTCTACTTTGTTTTTATCATTAGCGATCGAAACGAGATTAGCATTGATGCCCTTTTCCTTACCATGTTACCTACCCCCGGCGTTGAACGGCTAGGGACCCTATTTTCTTGCTTTGCACTTCGTTACTCTCCTTGAGAACACCCCCTTGTCCGACGACCCCCCTTGTGTACTTTGGGTCATTCCTTATGTTTCAATGAGAAGAGTTGTTGTCGTCGTTGTGGATCATACCCGAACAAAGATGGATGGATGGAAGCAACTCCAGTATGTGGGTATCAGAGCCTAAGGATCAGTAGTGGAGGGGAAAAACGCTTTCTGGGAGGATTGTATTCTCCAAGGGAGCTGTCTTTTTCTTCCATTGCGCTAGGCAGATGGGCAGATGGCTCTTGTGTATGTCTGCTTGTAATTTGTTGTTTTGTTAGGATAATACCACTTTCTCCTTATGTTCTGAAATACATATGATCTACCTATATTGTCTCTCCATTTGCCGCTCGTGAACTCGACCCGTCTTCTACTAGCTGTCTACACGGTATCGCTGTCAAAGCAGTCCAGAAGGGCACTCATCCCATCCCATATCGTATAGCCTGTCCACTGAACCTTCACTTAGAAGCTAGACACCGCCAGGACTTGCGTCATACTCACGCGACTAACCACATTCGCGGCAATAGTCACCAGACCAAGCTACTCATTACAAACCCACAGCAGGTTATAAGCGCACAAGTTCGCCGCGGTCTCATTCCAAACCACTACCATAGTCAAATATGGCCTGCATCAACGACCCCACTATCGCCCTAGGCGACAACTTCACAAAGCTCTCCGGGCCTGAGAACTTCACAGACTGGTTCCAGTCTTTCAAAGACATTGCAAAAATCTACGGATACGCTGAACACTTCAAGGACAACGCTGGAGTAGTCGCAAAGCCCATTCCACCCGCCTTCCTCGCACCTCGACAAGCCGCCGATCAAGGAGAGGATCACTGCGTTCCGCAGGATTGGGAGTACCATCTCGCCGTTTACAACACTCATCTTCAAGAATGGAAGGACTATGACGGAGCCTCTCGCTCTGCTTTAGCTCTCCTGCACGCTGCTATCGAGTCATCGGTGTGGATGGAGGCCAGGAATACCAACTCGCCAGCATCCGCGTTGAAGGCCGTTATCCGCCACATGAACGACGAAACGCCTGACAACATCCTAACAGACCGCGCTCGTGCAATGATCAGCTCTCTCGACCTAGACACGCCAACTGCGGTTCGCCAATTCGTTGTTGACTTCAATGAGCTTTATGGAGAGGTGAATTTCGATGTGGACATTTCAACTTGGGCTATCGAAAAGATCAATGCAGCCCTGCCTCGTTCGTACCGTACGCTCATCGAAGACCATAAGCGCCTCGGTGGCAAGATCACTTTCACCGGGCTAACCTTCAAAGGGTATCGGTCTCATCTTTTCAACCATGTTGAAGAGGATGACCCCCCGGAAATAAATGGGAAGGTTCGCAGATTTTCCCGCTTGAGATAAATCTATGTGGGAATTTGTCATCATTTCGGTCGAGCTTACCGGTGGTGCTTGAGATCTTGAGAACAAGCAAGTAAGTCTACCAACTAAGCTTAAAACCTCGCATAATATCAATCAAGCTTGTGTAGTCATTGATTGGGAAGTCGGGCCCTAAGACGGTGCAAATTTCCCCTGTTGCTGATGTGACCAAGAAGACGGGTCCCAGTTAAACATAGAAGAAGAGTGGAAGACGGACCAATCGAGCCGTATTAACAGGACAGAAGATCTTGAACCATAGAGCCACGTTGAAGACTTGAGATCGACTGATAGCACCGGTAAGATAGACTAGATCGGCAGCCCTCTACGGGATAAAAACCAGAGACTTTGGGGATCATCCCGTTAAAGAAAGATATTAAGCATTCAGCTACCTAGCAGAAGACAACCGACACAACAATCACAGAATGTAGGAGCCTAAGATGCGTTCAAATTGGAGAAAACCTTATTCTTATATCAACGTAGACGGCAGAGCACCTGTTCAGATTCCTTCCCTGTCTAATATAAAGAGAAGAATACAAGGGATAGCAAAGAAGAGCACAGAAGGAAGAGAAGCTTGCCATTTTCTCTTTTTTCCCGCTCCATTAACTATGCTGCTAATAAGTCGTCCAATGTGATAAAGCTTGGGGCTTGGGCAAGTCATGCCTCTCAACCAAGCCTTCTTGCTTCTAACCCTCTTGCTAGCCAAGCCAAACACTCTGGATCAATTGGCTTGGTTGTTGACGTCTCTTCCCAAAAGAGTAAACTATCGTAGATCACGACACTTGTTGGGGCATGTGATGTGTTGTTGGTCTTATTGTTGTTGCCAGGAGACTGAACAGGCTTATCCTGCTGGACGAACGTCTTAAGAAGCTTGTTGTTTGAAGAAGACCTTCGAAACTGGCGATAAGGTAGTAGGAGGTAGAAGCTGCGCTATACTGAATTATTGACGAAGCATATTTGACATGATAGTTTTGACCTCAGGGTATTGCGCTTTGTCATGTCTTGTGATTTCAAGTTTGGGGGGTGAGACGTCATCCTCAGATACTCCATAGTTACTGTACCGCATGCTCTACGATTCTTCGATTGTCGCATGTATGAAAGTAACATATTTTGACGATGTTAGAACACATACCAACGCAACAACCCAACCCAAACCCTTCCCTTCCATCACCCCAAAACCACTTCCATATTCTCCGATCGTCGTCCCCTTCGATCAAGTACCCCGGATCTACAATACATAAAAACCGCTATGTAATAACCGATCAATTATACATGTTTCATGCACCTCGCGGCAAAGGAATTAGTTCGCATAAAAATGTCAACACCTTACTGTAATCATACTCTTCGTACCGAGTCTACTGCGGCTGTGCGGGGACGCAGCGGTGTGATCACGTTCAGCGGGCTGCAGACGCGAGATGCAGTTGCATGACTCGTCGTTGGCTTGCGTGCATTTTGGGCAGGAACCAACGTTGGATCGACGGGGAGCAGGAAAAAAACGGTCAGACATGAGAACGCGGTTGCGAAAGGCGAGCTAAAAGAGAAAGGGTTTGGAGATTTGGAGATTGGAGTAGGTGGGTACGGTATGTGAGATTTTTTGGTCGTGGGTTGGTGGATGGAGACGGTTGACGGGAGTTTAAGCGGACGGTGTGGTGTGTCCGTGCTCGTGCTGATGACAGGCCTGAACGATGTCTGACAATTCAGGTGGTGAGAACATAGTATCCATAGCAAGCAAAGATTTGGTTCATTGTCGATATGATGGTCTGATGTTGTATGCATGTTGAAGTTGGTTTCGATCGTCAAGGTGCCGGTGATGCTAGGTCGTCGTCGCATTCATGGTTCCGACGTGTACGTATAATTTGTAGCGCATCTCTTACATCTTTTAGTAATCTGAAGAGCGTGATGTACGCATCTAGTGATGTAAGCAGATCCTGGTAGCAGTAGATTTGACCGCACTGCGCGGAGGGTTTCGACATTGCATCCGCAGCCGCAGCCTAAGATGGATAACTCCCTGTGTTCATGCATCAATCTAGAACTCGGCCTTGTCCTGGCTGCATGCAACCGCAAAAGGTTATGAATCCAACGGTTTTACCGTTGAGGTTTGAGAAGTATGTTGAGGGGGGTAGTCCTGCAATGTCAGGTCTCTAGGCGGGTCGAGCCGAGATGTGTCCGACGTCTCCAAGAATGTAAGTGGCTTGTTCTAGAAGAGCTAACTTTAGAAAGTATTGACCGGCTGGTAGTGTAGCAGATGTTACAGCCTCATGCCACATTTTGCTCGACGTTGAAAGTGTCAGAAGGCCACGTAGGCGGCGTAGCTATAGCGGACGTTACAGATAATCGACGGTCTGTCTACTCGCATGAGACCGAGCTCGATTGAGTTCATAGTCGATCGTAGTTTGACGTACCCGATAGCCGTTACTGTCATCCCGGTTTGGAAGATGCTCGATTGGTTGCTCGCATCCCGTCGCGGGCCCTAGCAGTTTCCCGTGAGTGAAGGACCACAGAGCGGAGTCAACGGCTCGGGTGCATTGAAAACGGGCCGTAATGGAATGACAATTTGTCAAAAAAGGACAGAATATGTGTGGCGAAGTGGAAGAGAAGCGAATACGGCGGGTGGTAATCTTGACTCGGTGTCCGAATGCAGTCAAAATAAAGTTCGACGTGGGGCCAGGTTGCAGTAGCCGACATCTCGCGTGTAGCGCACGTGTAAGACGGTGAATGTCTCGGAGTAGTGGAAAGCTACACAGCGCTGATAACTTTATTGTTGGTATTACCCCGCACTCTTTGCAACGTCGAAAACTGGCAAGCAGAGTATAGAACGGCCTTACCTTCATGTCTTGAGCTCACGACATAGTTGCGTCGAGCATCTCCACTTCCCGGCCACGTGCCGGCTTTGCAGATTCTGAGACGAACGATGGACCGGGGTTGGCGGTATGCAGCTAGCCATGGTATCTTGAAGAACTCGTGGCTCGGGTGTACCAACTTGGAACTTGTAACGATAGTGGGTCCTGATCTTCCTTCGGTCCTAGTGCGGAAAGGACGAGAGACAATGGCATCAGCCGCGCTTTTTGTGCTGGATAGTACTGGATGAGTACCTGTTTCATGACCTCGGGGTAGAGCTCGATGCGTAGGGTCATACACAATGATATTGGTGACAACAGCAGCCAGCTTATCTCCAACAATCGACGACAAACTCCGCAGTGGGGTCATGATCCGCGAAGAAACAAGGCATGTCGTGCATATGGGTCCCGTAGTCGCGAATTTAGTATCTATAATAGCCGGCTGCTATTACATTGTGGATAACAAAATTAGTACGCAAGCGGTTGGGCATCATCGCACTTACTGTATTGCCGGCCTGCTCGGGGCTCAGTTACTACCGTGGGAAGGCAGTAGCGACGGCAGATTCTGCGGATGTGCTCGAGACGTTGCTATGACTCTTGCTTGAAGATAGGCCGCTGGACGATAGTGGTTGACATCTCCGCTCATCTCCGTCTGCACTGTTACCGTTGTTTGGCGAGTGGAATGAGGCGGGCAAGGCGAAGCAGAGTGAGTGTTGGACTATATGAAGATAAGGCATGGACGCTCAATGAGGAAGCGACGTTGGAGATAATGACGACATGTCTCAGTATTTTCAAGGTTGCACGATGCGCAGTCACAACACGTTGCTCATCGCGGGGTCATTTACTGGCTGAGGAAGCACGCAGGATGTGCTCAGTTGATAGCACGCATAGTATTGACATGCCGCCTCGTCTCGAAGGGCGTCAGCTGCCGGTCACGTGGGGGTCACAACTTCCAAGGCTGTCTGTCTTGGATCATTTGCTTCACATTCAAGTTTGATTCCTAGCTACAACCTTGGAGGTGCATATAATTAACGTACAATGATGCTTGTTGATGTAAAGACGGATAAAAAGTGGCGGCAGAGTCTAGGCGATGGGACTTCCTAGTTGGGACGTAGTGCGCCTGCGTGCGTGGACATGAATCACTCAGGCACAGTGCGTCTATGTAGTCTGATGGCAAGTTCCAGCAGGTAGCGGACGTCTAGGAGAATTGCGAGCATATATTCCGGAGTAGGGTACCGTCCGCGGGAGGGACTATGCTAGACTCATGGATGGTTTAGGAGTTTTGACAATTTCGCAGAAAGGGGGTGTGGTGGATGGCGAGCCAAAGCCACATGGCGCTGGTCGAGGGCGCTAGAAACAATCACGTTCTCTCGCACAGCGGCGGTGGCTTGATGCGTCTGCAGGAAAGGAGCAAGGTCAAGGGGCTCGGTAGTTTTGCGCGTGTAGTGGAGGCGGTCTTGCAGTCGATGCCCCTCTCTGACTGCGGTTTCCACAGAGGTGCTGCAGCTTCGTCACCTGTGCCAAGAGCAGGGACGGGTAGTTCGCGTAGGATTGGCAAGCGCTGAAACACGCTATTAATTGTACCTGAAAGGCCGGCGCAGCGACGCGAGGCGGCATAATGGAAGCAATTGTTTCCTCGCAAGTGAGATGAGGCTGAGGGATCTACAGCCGCATACGCTGGGTGCGGACGACAAGGCCGGGAGCGGGCTGCCGACGCATGAAAGGCATTGCGCGTGCTATGCTCGAGCTTCCATGCGGCATGACAAAGATGCGGCGCCTTGTTCAGGTTAGAGATGGTCAGAGATGGACAAGGAGAATTGGAAGGAACGGCCGCCGATCGCTAGTGAGGCAAGACTAGCCCTGGAGGTCTACTCCGGAGTAGATGGTGAAAGCTAGAGGGGCTCGAAGCAGGGGGGAAAGTACATGGAAACAAAGTTTGAGACATGATTATTCCCCCGCAGCGGTCCAATGGCTGGCAGGGCTGCAACGCTGAAGGGCTGCTCAGGTGGACGCAGGGGAAGAGAGAGCGTCGCCCGGCTGGGGTGGGACCGGCGAGCAATTGACTCGAGGTCAGGCAGCTCAGGCAGTCTTACAGGTGATTGACGCCGAGGTTATCTGGGTACGGGTCTTAGCCAGGCACACAGACGCCGATACAGCACAGGTCAGCACAGGTACGGCACACTACCTGCGCCAACCTGCAGCAATTGGCTGGGGTCCTTAGAGGCGGCCCCTGGACACGCTAAGGGGCATCTGGCGCGCTGGTAACCCGCAGTGAGGGCGTGCTGCTTGCTCTCAAAGGGCCTTCACAAGCAAAATAATCCGCGTCTTCATTTTTATCCTGGCCTTTCTTTTTGTGCCTCTCCCCAATCGCCATCCCCAGGCGCCTCGACTGCAGGCGGGTAAACAGCGCTCGCACCCACCACTGCCAGCCCCAGCCCGCGGATGAAGGCCACTTCGACACCGCCGACTGCACCCTCTGCTGGATCTACACGGCGCCGCAAAAGCACTTGCAACACCACACCCAACGGCCGGCGCACATACACGACCACAACGGCGCTGCCGTAGCCGCACACATGGCCACCTCACCACCAGGCTCGCCCGCAAACGGCGTGCCGCGGCCCATGAGCGCGATGATTAGGCCGAACCGCAGCTCCAGTCGCATGAGCGTGAGCAGCAAGCCGGGCGGGAGCAGGGCCTCTGATGAGGACAGCAGGACGGCCGTCAAAGTTGGTAGGTGCATCTCAGGGTCCGCGATAAAACATTCTGCTAACCACGGCCTAATGCAGCTGTACGCGTGCGGCCACCACTGCAACACGGCGATCCGGGCTACGAGCTCATCCCACAGCGCTTCCGCAACGCCCTCTGCCATGTCACATCGCCCTCCAGCCTGACGATAGATGCGCCCGGCGGCAAGAAGGTCTTCGTCTTTGACCGCGTCTTCGGCGAGGACATTGAGCAGGAAGGCGTCTTCGAATACGTCGCGGACAGCGTCAACTCCTTCGTCCAGGGCTACAATGTCTCCATCCTCGCATACGGCCAGTCGGGCGCTGGCAAGTCCTACACCATGGGCACCACCGGCCCCCGCGACCAGGCGGACAACGATGTCATGGGTATGTTGAACTTGAAATGATTAAACGTCAGAACATGATACTGACTCCTCAGGTATCATCCCCCGCGCTGCGGCGTTGCTTTTCGAGAAACTCGAGGGCACTAGCAATCGCGTGTCATCGTCAGGAATCCGCGTCCCAAGCCGTCTGTCGGGCATACACAACATGGCCTCCAAGGCGTCGTCATCGTCGTCTGCCAATCGGAACTGGCAGCTCAAGGCGACCTACGTCGAGGTAAGATAAGCCCTTCCGCCGTCGCAGGCCAGAACTGACGGATGCAGATCTACAACGAGCAACTTCGCGATCTGCTGATCCCCGAGCACGTGGCTGTCAATGAGCGGCCACAGGTCAACATCCGCGAGGATCGCGATGGCCGCATCCTCCTGACGGGACTGACCCAGATTCCTATCAACTCGGTCGACGACATGCTAGGCGCGCTCAACTTCGGCTCCGCAATCCGGCAAACCGACGCGACGGCCGTCAACGCGAAATCTTCCCGCTCCCACGCAGTCTTCAGTCTAAACCTAGTCCAGAAGAAGTCGTCACCTGCCGCGCCTACTCCGACACGCGAAAAGCGCCGATCCGTCCCTATCGAGATGATGTCGGGCTCCTCGAGCGAGAGCTGGGTGACAGTCGACAGCAAGTTGCATTTTGTGGATTTGGCGGGAAGCGAAAGGCTGAAGAACACCGGGGCGCAGGGCGAGCGGGCTCGGGAGGGTATCTCCATCAATGCAGGGCTTGCGAGCTTGGGCAAGGTCATCTCGCAGCTGTCCGCACGTTCCCATGGCGGCTACGTCTCGTACCGCGACTCTAGGCTCACGCGCCTACTGCAGGACTCGCTTGGCGGCAACGCCATCACCTACATGATTGCTTGTGTCAACCCGGCCGAGTTCCATTTAAGCGAAACCTTGAACACCGTCCAGTATGCCCAGCGCGCCCGCGCTATCCAAGTCAAGCCGCAAATCCAGCAGATCCATGACGACAGTGATAAGCAGGCTGCCATCGACCGGCTGCGGGCCGAAGTACAATTCCTACGGGACCAGATTCGACTGTCTGAGCGCACGGATCGAAAGAAAGCAAACCCTCAAGAGAGCCGTGAGCGCCAGGACGAGCGCGAGACTGAGCTCCAGAACCAGTTGCTCGACGTTCAGGAGAACTACAATGCGCTGAGCGCCCGCCACGCTAAGCTAATTTCCGAGATCACCAAAGCCCGCGACAACAACGAGACGGAGACGCCTATGCTAAAGGATGCTATTGGTGACTCTGCGCTTGAGAGACTAAAGCGATCTAATTCATTCGCCGAGGCTGTCGAATCGGTAGTCTTGGAATACGAGAAGACGATCCAGACGCTTGAGTCTTCCCTTTCCAACACACGCTCCTCTCTGTCCAACAACGAGAGTGACCTCCTGGAGAAGGAGACCCGTATCGCAATCCTCGAAAGCCAGAACCACCACTTGCAATCGCGCATCCAGAAGGCAATGGAACGGGACGCGAACAACGAAGAGTATGTCCAGTCGCTCGAGCGCCAGATCGACAACTCGGCGAATGGCATCGAGAAGAACGACACCATCATCTCTGAACTGCGCGAGAAGTTGCAAAGGCTTCGTGAGAACGAAACCAGCAGCGAAGAATACATCTCCACGTTGGAAGAGCGTCTGGCCGAGAATGAGCAGGAGACTGAGATCATGAGCCGTGAAATTGAGCGACTCAAGCATGTCGTTGAGAGGCAACGCAGCGTCGCCAAGTTAGACAACCTGCTTCACGAGCTCGATGACAAAGAGCATGCTGTTGAGCCTTACACCAATGGCCATTCAAAGACACCTAGCGACCCCTTCATTGAGAAGCGCCCCAAGCTTGAGAAGCGAGTCACGAGCGAGAGCATGCACCAATTTGGCACTCCCGTGGATGCGATTCCTGAGGAGGCTGACAGTGAACGTCCACTCACAGCCAGCACCAAACATGACGGTACGGACGAGCAGAAAGATCGTTTTGCTGTCAAGGCTGCTTCAGTCGTCGGAGATGAGCCTTCCAGCCCCGCGCAAGCTCGCTTCGTCAACGACAAGCTCGATACGGTGACCCAAGAGCTGCTCGACCTGCGCGTGGAGCACGAAGGAACTCTTCAAGATTACGAGAAGCTGGCCAGCAAGTACCAAGAGGCTTTGCGGACTTTGGCCGCTCTCCAAGACTCAGTGGACGAGGCGCGCCATCGCGGAATCACATCAGTGCCTTCCTCCCGGCCAAGCTCTTTCATGGCAGAAGCGGGCGTTAATGGACTCCCAACAGAAGACTTGTCTTCCTCGCGTACATTGTCTGCGGAACTGGCCTTGGCAGAGGCTTGCAATACCAGCATTCCAGATGATGAAACAGAGGTTGGCCAAGATGAGGCCAAGGCTCGACGAGCATCAGTCGACTCCACAAACCAGGAGCAACACATTCCTGAGACCGTGTTAGTCCAGGAGCTGAAGGCCCTGAAGCTGCTTCACAACGAGAAGGAGGAGCGCATCGAGAAGCTTCAACACAGCTACTCTCAGCTGCAAGAAGAACATCAAGATACACTCGATTACGTGGAAGAACTGAAGTCGGAAGTCACAAAGGCCCAGATGCAGGCGAACCGACCATCTTCTCCATCCCTACACATGATCCGCCGCAAGTCTAGCCAAGCAGTCCTTGCGAACGATCGTTCTAACCGCGCATTCGCCTCGCTCCGTAACATGGCTTTGGATACGCTAGACGAGGACCCTGACGGCATCCAAAACTTCGAGCTCAACCTCAACACCATCATGTCCGAGCTCCACCTACGGTCTGAGCGTGTGCAGGACTTGGAGGCAGAATTGCAGTCTGTACGCAAGGAGATGGAAGGCAAGATGACATTGATCAGCGGCCTGACAAAAGAGCGCTCCAGCTTGAAAGCCGGGTCTCCTATGGATATCTCCATCGTCGCTTCAATGCAGGATCAGATGAAGCAGAACGAGGAGCATATCAAGGAGTTGAAGAACTCCCACATCCAGCGCGAGCAGGAGCTCAAAGAACAGATTGAGTCTCTCAAGGCATCTGTCAATCGATCTGATGATCTACTGTCACCTCGTCAGACGCCTGAGGGCATGCGGACTGTCAACGGTGAGGAGGAACCTGAAGACGATGCTACCCGCCACACCCACCTCTCTCAGCTTAGCGATGAGGCAGCCCACTGGCAGTCTAAGCATCTAGAAGCTATCGAAGCTACCAAAGCTTCGGAGCAGCGACATCTCGAGACTGTTCGTGAACTAGAGTCCGCCAAACAACGTCTTGAGGTCGACCATGCTCTTCGCATATCTGAGATAGAGCAAACCCGAGGCGCTGAGTCTGAGGCTGCTCTAGAACAGGAGAGGGCAAAGCACTCCGAGCTAATCGCTACTTTGGAAGCAGAGGTCCATGAGCACAAGTCTACGGCTGTCAGCCAAGCTGCTCGCCTTGCTGAGCTTGAGGCCTCTCACACAAGCATCCTTCAACAGATCGAGGAAGACTCTGAAGCTCGAGCGCTCACCGAGAAGGAGCTTGACACTCATCGATCCCTTGTAACCAATTTGGAGAGGCAAATCGATGAGCACAAAGCGGCGATCGATTACCATCAGCAGGGTATGGACTCTATCCAGAAGTCACATGCAGCTGAGCTCGAGAAGCTTACAGCGGAGCTTACGACACATCGAGAGACAACCTCTTCTCTTGAAGCGGATCTTTCTCAGGCCAAGTCTGAGATGGCGACGCTCCTTGAGGGCGTTTCGACTGTCCTTGGTGAGGAGACGGATGTCAGCAACATTCAGTCTCACATCGAAGCATTGGTCCAGGAACGCAAGTCCATCACAACCAAACTGGAGGAGGCTCAGGCCGAGCTGGAGACCCGCAGGAAGGAGCTTACGGAAGCCAACAACACCATCAGCACGCTCAAGGGCAACCTGAAGGAGTTCGAGCTCATCAACGCCGAGACGATCAAGGAGCTCGAGAAGGTCAGCGAGAAGGAGCACAAGAGCGCCCGACTCGTGCAAGAGCTCGAGGATCAGCTCAACCAGAACTGGGACCAGCACGAGGCTGCCAACAACCGACTGTCGGCTCTCCAGACCGAGCGCACTCGCGAGCTGCAAGACGCTATGACCCACGGTGAGGAGCTCGAGAAGGAAGTACAAGAGTCACGCATCAAGATCGCGTTATTAGAGGTAAGCTCATCATCTTCTTGGCTTCGAGGAATCAGCTAACATGACCAGTCACAACTCGTGGACGCGAAGCGCAACTCTAACCGTGCTTCTATTGATCCTCGTGAAGACCTTCAACGATCCAACTCGAACAACTCCACCGCGCGCAAGAGCACAGCACACACATCTCTGCCCTCACCACCACCCGCCATTCCTCTCCCACCTCTTCCGCCTGGCAGCCCCCCACCTCAGGCCAGTGCGCCGTCTCCTCCTACTTCGCGCCATCAGAGCAAAGACATTGCTCACGCTCAGTTGGTCGAAGACCAGGAGGCTCGCATCCGTACCATCGAGAAGCACCTGTTTGCTGAGAAGCAGCTTACAGCTACTCTTGAGGATGCTCTGACCGACCTCGAGGCTTCAAGCACCAAGACCAAGACTGATCTGGATCAGTTCAGGAAGAAGTGCGCCGGCCTAGAGGAAGAGCTGAACATGATGCGCAAGGAACGCAGCGCAGCCCGCCACTCTCTTCAAGCCGTGGAAGAGGAGCGCAACGCCCGCCTTCGCGTTGAAGCCGAGCGCGCCCACCTTGAAGCTCGCATGGCCGCCCTCAACAACGCACAAAAGAAGGGCAAGAAGAAGGGCACTTTGAACTGCTTCTAGGCTTCTCCGCCTACCCACCCACCCACATCTTTGACCTTCATGTATCTGCTTCATTGTCATCTGCTTATACCGGCGTACACTGGAAGGGATCTTTACACACCGCGCTACATACCCCCGATACACCTGCTCTACATAGTTCGACGCTTTCTGGAGCATGTTTTGTTTTCGACATGTCTTTATGCTTTCAACGATTTGCAATGCTCGCATCTCTAGCACACATTTACCGTTGGACGCGGTCATGGCCGGTTGGACACGGAGAGGAACCCTTTGCTTGGTGCCTCTCTCTTCTTTCTTGCCTTTATGTTTGCATGCCCCATACCCCCCTTTTCACTTCTTCTTCACTTCAAGCCACATTACTTTTTTTTTCCTAATGTATATTTTACGGCAGTTGGCAGCTTGGATGGACCACAGTTAGTCAGAGCCGGAACCGAAGAGAGGCTATCTGGATTGTACGTTGAAATTGCTTTGGTGCGTGCATAGCGAAAGAGAGAGGGCGAAACGATGAACAATTTCCATTTCTTTCTACCTTTCTTGTTCCTAATTCGGGCTTTTTATTTCTCTTCTGTGGGACGGGCAGATGAAATGGGATATATGTGAGAGGGAGGTTGTTTTTCTGATGGATGATCCAAGGGACAACAAAATATCATGCCTTCGTTCTACATAAACATGACTTCGCCGTTGTGCCTCCTTTGACGTTGATCGTACAAACAATGCATCACCCCACCTCGTCTCGCCTCCCTTGATCTATAGAACCGACATGGTGGAAATGCTATAGCAAGCAAGCCCTTGACATATCATATCACATGACCCTCAACACCTGCACTCCCATCACACCATCACAAAATCGCGAAACCCCTTCGTCACAGTTATGACGACGGACGCGTAATTTCGCGTTCCAGCCCTAAACGCAGGAGATCGCGATTTGCGTAGGATCGAAGTGGCCTCGCCGCTAAGGTTTACCGTGCCTCTTCCTCCCTACTTTCCACATTAGTGCATGGTGCCTGTGCCGCCCCGGCCATCCTTCGGTATATGAGTAATCATGTCATGTACCTGCCGCGTATTTCTGTGCCGCAATTTGTGCGGCGTGGTACCTGGGTAGGTGACTAGTAGTGGTAGCGGCGCGGACGCGATGGATGCGATGGGGTGTTGGTGCGGGATCGTGTATTGTTTGTTGTTGTGCTGTGAAGGATTTACGCGGGCGAGTACGGGGGAGTTGAATTTTCGCACGGTTCGCTTGCGTTGGGTTGTAGGTGCGTGGATGTGTGGATTATGAAGGCGTGGCGTGGGTGTATTTGGGGTTTGCATTTGTGTTGGAGCGTTTGGCAAGGGAGGAAGGTGTGTATTTGAGTTGTGAACGGGACTATAGGTGGTTCGAAGGGCTTTCTGGGCTGGCGGTGTGTTAGGGCCTGTTTCTTGGGAAAACTCTTGCGTGACGTGTTCGAGACATTGGACAAGATGTTCAACGTATCTATGCCCGGTGTTTGGTAAGATTTGGACGGGGGTGGGGACAGTGTAGGTGAGGTGCGTATATTCTCAACTTTCCTACTTGAAGAAATGCACCATGACCACCTGGGCAGTCTTCGTGGTAAGAGATTGATTCGTATTGGGTGTTCTTTGATGTGTGCCCTGGCCGACGATATGTTGCATACTCTTATTTTACGGCCTTTTTCATACGGTAGAGGGCTACACCAGACTTGGACACCTTTTTAAAGATACCCCACGGCTTATGTATTCGTTTTAGTGATGTGTGCCCTTCACCAGAGGACATGATAGTAATCGTTCGCCCACTCCCTCAACTTCCAAGGTTGACAAAAGAGTGGACTTTTCAAGTACGATCTGGAGCTCCCCTGCGCCTTCCTACTCGATGATACCGATGTGCTGTGTAATTCGGGGTGAGCCGTGCTCCTGAAACCTTGCGCCTCTCTTACTATGAACATCTACCAAGACATAGGGTATTTCTCTGATATTTGAAGCTCATGTTGTCTGCGGATCGTGCATGACGTGCGCGACCAGTCCTTTTCTCTCGATATGCGTTTGCGGCAGGTAATATCCAGTCACACGGGCAGCAATAAGCATATCTAGAGCGATCTGGAGCGTTAAAGTCTTGAAGGCTGGACATATCACCCTGATGCTCGAATTTAGAGTAGATAGTCTGGAGTAGTTACTCCAAACCTTGGAAGGCTGTGAAGTTGAATCACCGCACCGCATGAGAGAGCTCACCTGGGCAGTCAATTCGCGTTGCGAATTGACTGTCTTTGCACGATAAATCGTTTCTCGGTAGACATATGTGTTGCAAAGACCTCACGCGAAATAGTTGATGTCCAATACACTCAACTTGCATCGCTGTGGATGGGGAGGCTGGACGAGCGGGGCTGGTTACATAAGCACGCTACGGAGGCTCGGCGCCGGGGCTCAAGCTAAAATTTCTGGAGCTCAAAACCGTTCTCTACATCATTCTCATCACCAGCACCACATCGCGCTTCATGATGCGCGCGCTTTCATTCAAGCGCCTTGATCAACATTAACGCAGCCATCGCGTATGCTCTAGTTACCAGGTAAGCCTTTCCCAGCTTCGCGACTCCTGCAGAAGATTATCACATACGAACAATCCAAATCCTACAGCACCGTGAAGGACTACACAACTCTAGAATTACAATGATGCACTCAAGCGCAGCGGCACTATCAGAACATTCATTCCGAACAGCTGCTAACAAAGCTTCAGTGTCGCGATCCATATCGCGCTTGGCTTCTTCCTCTCTACTCAATCTCTTCAAAGGTAAGACTCCACCACTACTCCCATCCCCCTCCGCAGAGTGATGAAAACACGACACGGAAAGGCATTCCTCGACCTGAATATACAATGTCGACACCCTTGCTTTTAGTTTCAGCCTTGTCTGATCCTGCTCAATGCTATCGCATATTTGCAAAACTTCTTTGCGATGAACGTGCTAACATTGATCCTCGCAGGTACATACTCCCACACACGATCCCTTCCTCCCTCCCGAATACACCTGGCTTCCTGATGAAACCCTGATGCGTCGGGCGGACATAACGTATGCCTTGACCGGCATCCATCAAAAGCAGGCGTACAAACCTGTGGGTGTTCGGAAGAGGCTTTACTTGTTGATAACAGCATCTCTGATTGCCTCCACACACCACACACTGCGATGCTTCTTTGCGGACTGTTCAACTAACAGCCTCCGCAGGTATGGCACACTCTCTTCTCCAGCAGTCGGTCCATCATTATAATGATGATTATGATATTCACGCTGTGTGAGAGGCGGCGTTGTAACGAGCGTCCGTCTTACTGATCACGACAAACACAATCTGATTTAATGAGGTAAGTCTGGATCAAAGCCATCGATCCTGCGAACATTCGCTAACATGACGCAGGCTGATTCTTGATGGACTCGTACTTTTTCATCCCATCACGGATGTCACATGTCTCTGTGGACGTACGCTGACATCTCGACACCAGTGACCCTCTCACCCTCACATGTCTTTCATGCTGCATCTCTCGGTAAGTTCAATCGCATCCCAACTCGCCCGCCACCCCTAGTATGATGAACAACATGATTCGCTGTGTTCTTTCTTAATCACATTGAAGATAATATCACCTTGGAGAACTGATCCCTACACCTTACATCTGTCGCTTTGTCTCCAATATGTGTTGGACTTGCTGGCTAACCATGGACAGTAAATCATCCCAGTTGGTCGATGTTGAGCAGCTTTGCGATGCTCGAGGTGTATATAGCCAATGCAATTGTTTATGAACCAGATTTGATTCCCTTCAACTTGACCGTGATGGCGCAATGTTTCAAATATGATGGTGTTGGAATGATGATCCTTGGATGAGTGCATAGATTCTAACGGCCCACGGTGACCGCTTTTCTCACCGCATACCATCCGGTGTACCTCAACATGTTCACTCGCCCGCACCCGCCAGCTCCCCGAGACCAGATTCCCTGTACCGGCATCTACCAGCATCGTGGGTCTTGGGTGCGTCTATGCAAACCACATTAGGTCTGGTTCGCAGTTAAACGCGCATGCGATACGCGACACCTGCATGAAATGGCGGTCAAGGGACAGGATGTCCGCTGTTGTCAGAATCGCTGCAAGAAAGAGCTTAGCTCTGCAGGTACCCACCTGTTGTTTTCCCCTTCTCGCCGGTGTGAATTGCTTGCAGTAGTATCTGTTTATCTCCCGAGCAACCAAAGATTTTCGCACTGGTTCAGAGTTTGCGTTGGTGAAGCGGGGGAAAAAGCTGAGGCCGGGTGGAGGTTGGGGTCGTCTCTATCAGCACTAGGTATCACTATCAGATGGGCGCACGGTTTGCTGGGTTTTCAAGATGTCGACGATGTTGTCTCTGCTTTGAGCAAGGGAGATGAGGTGGTTGGATTTTTGAAGTAAGTCACGCGGGTGATGCATTGGAGAAAGCCTATTCTGGTGTTGATGAAACAGTAGATTGCGTTGTCTCGTATTGTGTTGTCTCTATGCTGTGTTGTCTCGTCTTGTCTTATGAGAAAGAGGTTTAGTTTTGACGCTCTAGAGTATTGGTGTGAGATGACGTGGTGCGTGTAGTGTGGGGTGTGCATGTTTCTCGGTCTGTGGCGTCCTCGCATCGAGAGACACGACTAAGACGTGCATGTATTGATGAGGCGGGGTGATGACAAAGTTTGATATGGGAGCTGAGGCAGAGAGTTGTTTGACTTTATTGGTGCTGTGTGCTGTACCTTCAGTCACGAGACCGCATGTGAATGTGATGAGAGCTACATAGCGTATGAGTTGTTCACGTTGGAGGGGAGATGAAGCAGGTGACGGTAGATCTGCGGAACGGGCAGTATCTCATGCAGAGGATATGCACAGCTTTGCGGGGGATACATCGGTGGTTCTGCTGTACACAGGTCGTCTGTTGCTCAGCTCACGTAAACACTAGCTCGATGGACCGAGGGCCAAATTGCGATCGCAACAACGGTAGTTCACTCGCAGAAGATTTACAT